TGCCGTCTCACCTGTGTTTCCTTCCACTGCACCACATGAGTTAGGAGACTCTAAAAATATTTGATTATGTCAGAAAGGAAGAAAAAAAAAAAAAAAAAGGTTGTGTATAAGACTGTTCTCAAGCAAATGACTAGGTGGATACAGCTTTTCCAGTCATTTTCTAACCTTTAAATTACCTAACTGCTTGCTACAGTACTTCATTGCCTTTCAAGTTTTCATGCTGATTTCTCAGGTATGCTTTGAAAAGAAACTTGGATTTTTCTCTCGTGTTTTAATACCCATATGTGTGGTGGTCCCCAATAAATTAAGTTTTAATACAAAAGAAAGCAAGCAGAGGTCGAAGAAGATACAGAATGTACAGTGACTTAAGTGACATACTTAAAGTGATCAAGGACAGGGCTTAGGCTCAACATTTCATGACCATAGTTCAGGTTTAGTGGCATACCATGTTAAAGGTGCCAGGCATCTTCTGTAATCAACAGTGCAGGTGTTTGCTTTGCACATAGCTCTAATTTCCTTGCACTTGTTTTTATCCTGTCAGGCATGTGAGTTTAACTAAGCCTGTTCTAGAGCTACAAACTTTATCAGTTAGCTTACATACCATAGTGTTTTTCTGGAAATTCACTGGGCGCTGTGCTAGGTAATGAATCGATGCAAATGTTAGAGTTTGCAGTTCATGTTTGAGATGCATGCAGAAGAAGTCATAATCAGATTAGTTTTTAAACAGTTGCATATGAGGCATGTTTATCTCAGGAAGCCTCATGCTTATGCGACTTCAGATTTAGACTAAAGTCCCTATGCTGTGTCCTTAAGAACAAACGTCTGAAATGTCTTTGGCTTCACCATGTCGGACTGTTATGTCAAGTTATGTGGTGAGCAGCCTGTCTAATACCTGTCTTGCTGTAAAAGTGGAGGGCCCATGTCAGATTCCTGGTGCTGGCAGAATGGCTTCAGTCCCAAGGTGGCAAGTGGGAGGTGTCTCTTCTGGCAGGGTTCTGGGCACTGGGAGGAGACCTACCCCATGTGCAGTGTAATGTCCAAGTTTTTTGTTTCCTTTACTTAAATACAGTAGGTTAAAGGACCCACCAAGCGATGATGACTGGCACAGGTGGGAAAAGGCAAGCGGCTATTCCACAAAAATGCCAAGTATTACCAGAACTTTGGATAATTGTGAAAAGCTACTTAACATTATGAATCTGGTACTTGAGTGTATGAGATTAGCAGGTCCAGAAGAGGCATAAAAGATGTCAAGACAATCTCATGTCCAGGTTGACCTAAAATAGCTAATTTAGGAACAGAAAGCTGTCTTTGACCCTTGAAAGAACTAGTACTGCACCATACCATACTTAAATGACTATTTCTCGTGAAATATGTGCTTCTTGCTCCCCCATCCAAAAGCCGTTGCTGCTAGGGGGCCTGAAAGGGGCCTGATTTTCATGGAATATTGAATTATACTTTATGGAAGCAGGGCTTCCCACTAGGATATCTTCTCAAGTTAGATGCTCACATCCATGTCACCTTAGGAACTGTATACCTCTCTATTATGGAATGAAATATCAGAGAATATTGAGTGTTAGACGGAGGTATGTTAGTTGAGGTATAATGCCTGAAGAAACACATAAAATTCCTGCTTACAGAGGATTTATGCGATACTATTAATCACTACACATCCATTTCCATGGATGTTAAAGATCTAACCATTATTTGAGATTAAGACAAAACAAACAAACAGGCTTAAACCCCCCTAGTAGTATGAATAGGTAGAAGTTTTTAAAAATGAATAGTATTTGAAATGACTCACTAAGTGCTATCAGGAGAACTCTGGAATAATCACAGCATAAGAAGCAAACAGAAATTACTTGTATTCATAGGCACTGTTGCTGTGTAATTATCAAAAGGCTGAGTCAAAACTGAGCAAGTCTGTCAAAAATTCAGCATGTGTCAGGAAATATTTCCTAGCTAATAAATAACATGGCAAAAATCTCCCCTGAAGAAATTACCAGCTCCTTTGCATATCTGAATGATACGTAATGGGAATAAGTGAATACAGAGTCAGCAATTGTGTGAGGAGAGAAGCCACATTACTCCTTTTATTTTTGGCTGTGCCTGAGGTCAGAAGTTCCTTTGTTCTCTCTTTACCTCCCATTAGAGCAAACATAGTCTGCTTCTTTTCTCCTAAGGCTCCTTTTTCCTGTCCAATCTTTTTTCTTTTTTGTTTAAATAAAATAAAAATATCTGTCTGTGTTGCAAACTGTGACTGTGTTGGCTCATTATTATTTTCAACACTTGCATGTTAATGAAATGTTGCCTTATCCTACATTGTAATATTTTTCAAAGAAAAAAGCCCTCTTTAAAGAGGCAGAGTAGTGGAGCTGTAATTTATTGAGTTAAAACCTCAAACGGTAATACTGTGCATGCTGTTAAAGTACTAACCGTGCATCAAGTATTTACAGTCTATAAGGCCACTTATATAATAACATGCTTTATTTATCAATGCTTCTGCAATTTTGCATAGTACTGTTTTTCAGATACAGAAAATTTACTCCCTTTGTTTTGCCTGTCAGCTTTCAAGCTCTTTGAGGCCAGCGTTATTGTTTGCTTAGAAGTCATTACTGTTCCATCAAATGCAATGGACAATTCGTCCATTTACTGTAGGTGCTTACAGCAGGAAGAAGTTAAATAATAACATCAAGTGCATGTGTGATGTTATGTTTGTAAGCATGGTTCCTGCTGTGGAGAGTATGAACTGGAAGGGTGGGCAGAAACGTTTCTCAGATTGCTGTTAACTAGGGACTGAACTGTAACAAATCTGCGGCTGCTTCATGGTTGTCACAGTTGTTCACCATGACCGTATGGAATTTCACAGTGACAGCAGGGGTAGGGCTTGGATCTGCATGCATCACAAATCTCGGCTCGTTGCCACTGGAGGAAGAACTCTGCCTGGTTTTGGAATTCACGTATGGGGCTCTACCAGTGGAAACTACCATGCATGAGAAAAGGCAATTAATTACTGCATTAGGACCAGTAATAACAGTAGAGCTGTTATTGGCTCTAGGACATATAGTTGCTTTACCCTTTCCCAGTGGTTCATTTTATAGAAGACAGCAAGAAAAGACTCGCATGATAAGGGTGTTTATACTTCAATGGCACATCGCTCTTTTTTCTTGTTTATGAACAGATTGCCCTAATTATTGAAATCCCAGCATGTAAGATGCTTAGGGGTAGTTATTTGGTCATGTGGCATATGTTTTCACATGAGACTGTGCAGTAAGCATGCATTTCTGAACGGGATCATATGATTCATCATCCCCAAGCACGTTGACTTGTGCAGCAAGGGACAGTACTAAGCTTATTGTTGTGAGCTAAGCATCCTATGACTTGTTTCAGTGCCCTGGCCTGGGACCACAGATGATTGTTATTTTTGCAACAAGTGCAACAAAATTTAACGTGGAAGCCCTATAGGAGGGGAAGGTGATTTTGCTTTTACAAAATGCATTTTTCTTTCTCACACTCATTCTTCACTGTTTTCACTCTCTTACTCACACATCCAGAAGCACCAAGACATGTGGACGTGTGATGGGGCTAGGATTGCTCACAGGGATAGGAAGGGTAAAAAGATGCCAGCTATTAAGTCCTCATCATGTCTGCTGTTTTTTTTTTCTTGATTGGTGATCACATGGTGTTTTTTGACTGTACCTTTTGTACTCTTTAGGAGTTGACAGTGATTGCAATCTTAGCCTTTTCATTCTGTACCGTCTCTGTAAGTCAGTAGGCAACATTGCTAATTTCTCCACTGTCCTTCTGCCACCTTGTCTGTGTGGTTTATAGCTCTAATCCTGTTCTTTATCTTTCTGTCACCTTCTCCTAATGATTTGATTTTGTCCTTTATTTTACAAAACCAGACCTCCTGAGAAACTGCATGCAGAAGTGCAGCTGATAACTGATATATTCAGGAGTACCCATAAACACGTGACATCTCTTATTCCTCCTTTTGATTGTTTCTTTCACAGCACGTACATTTCCATTCATACTTCATTCAAACTATTCTTTATAGTCCTATTACAGATCTTTACACATTTAAATGATTGATGGCATACAACAACATCTCTTGCCAAAGTACAAGCCATAATTCCTTCGAATTCTGTAGTCCTTCAGAAGAAGAGATACACTGTAAAAGCTGTAGGTATACTCTATGTTTTGTTGTGTCTCAGCCTGAGGAGTCACTACAGTGTCCCCCTTCTTCCCTGTCCTCCCTCTGTTTAGAAAATACCACTTTAATTGTGTGGAGCATCCGACAAACTGACGAGTCCATGTTGCCTTATGACAGACACTGCATTTGAAGAAATTCCTGTGGCATGCTTCCTATATTTTTCTTTCCTGGCCCTTTATTAAGTGGATTTTCTTCCTGAAAAATAGGACCTTTTTGCTCCTTGTAAAAGCGTCATGAACTTAGAAAAAAGTAGAAGATACTGGCTTCATAAGCTTATATTGTAATTAAATGGTCTGAGAGACAGAGGAAGAGTGTGTGTATATTACATACATAATAAGCAGAGTAGATAATATATTACATGGGAAAAATAACTTTTTCTTATAAAGAGGTTGGAGGATGTTTATTTATTTTCCTAAGAGGTATTATCAGTGCTTGAAATGTGAGCTGTAATACCTATTCTGCAATAACAGCTAATCTTCTGAGTGTAGCTGGCTCAGTCATCTACAGTGATGTGATTTTTTGGCTTTGGCTTTTTGTTGGGTTTGTGGGTGTTCTGTTTCTTTGGTCGGTTTGTGTTCCTAAAGAAATTTGTGATGATGAAGTGAAATAAATTGAACTGCTGCTTAAATAAAAAAAAAAGGGGGGGGGGAGAGGGAGGAGGTTAGTAATTTAAAGTTATGTTCCTATTTGTAGAGGATTTTTGTTTCATATTAATATATGTGGGTGATAGTAGATGTTTCTTTTCTGTTTACAGAATTGTGTATATTATGATTAGCCTTTGCTTTTCCAGGGCTAAGATCACAGCTAACAAATGATGAAGCAACCTTTCTTTTTTTGGAGCTCAGGTAGGGTCTTTTGTTTCCCTTCCCAAACTCTTGGTATTTGCCATACAATACAGAGGTGATTGAAAGGGGTGTGTTAAAAAAAAAAATGCTAAAATTAAAATAAAATGGTAAAAGATATTTTCAATACTTCTACAAGCCCTGTCTCCTTTTTACCAAGAGAAAAAGTGTCTTGTTACTTTGACCTTTCCCTTCTGGGGCCTATTTATGCATTATAATTTAGGTCATAACTTCTTAGAACCTACATATCTGAAAGTAGTTGCTAATTCTAGCTGTATTAATTTTAATTCTGAATTTTTGACATTGTAAGACCTTGTTTTATAAAAATATTGAGTACACATGAATTCTGTGAAAGTTTTCTAATCTAGAACCTGAGATATTTAATACCAAAGGGGCATTTTTGTTCATAGAATCATAGAACAGCCCACGTTGGAAGGAGCCTCAAAAGATCATCTGGTCCAACCTTTCATGGAAGAGGGAGCCTCGATGAGATTATCTAGCACCCTGTGCAGTCGCATCTTGTTGAGTCTTCACAAAAGTGGGTTTATTAAAAGGTAGACATCCCACAATGGCAAATCAGATTTAAAAAAAAATATTAATTGTGGACTTCGGGCAGTATTTGCCTCTAGATTACAACCTTTGAAAAAATAGTTCATTTTACACCTAAACTATAATTACCACCCACTGTTTCTGCAAAGCCAAAGAATGACAAAAGAACAGGCCTTTTTTAAGGTACTATATTTTAGGGATTTGATGAAAGATAATGACAAGACTGCCCTCAATAAATAACTAATTATCTGTTTTACATAACTTGAATCTAGTTTTCCATCTTCCTTTTATTTCTTTATTTTATATTTCAATTTTTCTGCTGTTTTCCTAAAAAGCGATGGGGTATTTCTCAGCCATTGCTTTCTATCTGTGAAGGATTTGAAGGTGAATGATGCACCCTCTGGTTCATATAACATTTTCATGCTGCCTAAACGTGAGAATTATGGGTGTCTAAGCTAATAATCATAGTGTCAGACTTAAGTATGAGTGGGGGAAATGTATGAACCGAGTTAGCACGTAAGGATGCCTCTCTGGCTTGCAGTTGCCAGTTACCAAGGAAAACAGTGATTTTTAGCAATGTGTGGGCATTACAGAGATGATCTTTTTGACTTGGCAGCAGCTTATAAGGTCATTCCTATCAGCTTCATTAGTGTCCTTGTTCCTCTTTCCATCACCCTATTTGAGTAATGAAAGATAGTGCTACCCTTATTCTGGTGTTTTTATTTGTAAAACACCTATTCAGGCTATAATCTCCCTTTCAGTAGTTCTCTGCAGAGTATAGTCAGGAACTATCTCAGGAAAAGTGATGTTAGCTTGAGTGTTTAGGATTGTATGTAGCTCCTGTGTGAGACTTCGCTTCTTTCTCCCTCTGTGACTGCAATCCCACATCATAGCCCTGTTGCTATATCCTAAAAACATGAGACTTTTAGCCAAATAAGGTAATGTATATGTGTTTTCATAAGAGCTAGATCATGAAAGTCAGCTCCATAACTCATAAAAAGGATCATCTACTTTTTTGTCTGTAGAGGAAAAATATAAAACCGATTTTTTGCGTATTAGTTCAGTAATTTCTTCATGCACGTAAGCATGAGACACCCACTTGTGTTCCTACTCATACGCATAATGTGACCAGTGTTAACTTAAATAAACCCACATAAAATTGGAAGGAAAGAACAATATTATTATTCTAATATAAATTTTTAAGTATCGTAAAAATGTGCATTGTCAGTGGGAAGGATATGAGTAGGCAGGTAAAATCTAGGTCTGCATTGGTGTCTTATGTAACACTGAGCAGGGATGGACAAGAAAAGGTTCAGACCTTCATGATCCTTAGGGTAGAGGCTGTGTAGCCTGTGGCCCTGCCTGTCCCCAAGCACAGAAAGGTGATTTTTCCTTTTTTTTATTTTTTTTTTTTATTTTGAATTCTATTGTGCAAAGCTGTTTTGCAAGTGTTTTCTGTCCTAGAATAATTTTTTTCTTTTCTTTTCTTTGACCAGCTCATTAAAGCTGGAATTTATCCCTCAATACATCCGTAAACTGATGTGAAAATTGTAATTTCTTTTGGAAATGATGTTACATTTATTTCCCAGAGCTGTAATTCAGCATTAAATACTGAACCTTACACCTTCCTATATTTTAAAATGTTTGAGAGGAAAAAAAATGTAGTGACATTGAAAACTTCCTAAAATAATTCATCCCCAAGTGGTCATCAATTTAAAAAGTGAGTTAGATGCAAAAAACCAAAGGAGAATTAAGACAAGGTGTCTTCTCAGTTGTTAATTATTCACTCTGTGTGGTGTTCAACTGTGCTGCTAAAGAATGCATCGGTGAGTGAGAGAGGCAGCGTGAGCCTGTAGATTCTCTTGGGTGTTGAACTGGGAGAGAGGATCTGATCATGGTGTGAAGGCTTCTGTGCTAATAATGCTTCCAAAGAGGAGCAACTTCCAGTTAAGGTGGTGGACTTCACCTTCAAAATCCGTTTTGAGCTCACATTTCAAACTTAGTCTGATTATAGACAAAGCGCATCAGTCTGCCCAGCTATTCTCTGTACTGTGGAAGGTCAGAATGTTTTCTTCCCAGGTAATTTTAGATTGCAAGGGCTATAGGGGCACGAACTTCCTGTGCTTGCACACCACTCATCAGACATGGTCCTCCCATGGTAAGGATCATAGGCATAATTGTGCAAGAATAAGTTTCTGCGCTATGAAGAGGAAAAATGTAGAACTCTCGCCATTTTGACCGCAAGCAAGTTTTGTTTGCACAGTATTACTTTTATTTGCTCATTTCTAGGCTTCAGTGGGATTTTTTTTTCCCACTGCCTGGCCACTGTATCTTTTTCTGCAGCTGGCAAATGCGTGTCATTACTTTTTATTGCCTGCCGTTGTCAGAGTAATTCATTCTCACTCGCCTCTCCCCTTTTCCTTGAGGCATCGGGACGATTCTTCTCTTGTAGTCATCTTGCTAAACAATATGACATCTGCTGTCTGACTGTGGCACTGCAATGCTTCAGTATGTGTTGCTGAAAAATGCAAGCACTTTATGGAATTATATAGCAGACTTTCAAATGTAGCACCCTTTTAGTTGAAACTCATTTATTTTCCTGAAAGCATTTAGAACTGCAACATCAGGATATGTAATTTCAGTCTGTCTTAGTTAAAAAATTTCACTGGAGCACTGAAAGTTAGAATACATCTAATTCCTTTCATTGCCACCTTTGAGGAAATAACTGCTTAGAATTGTAGATTTGAGGAAAAAAAGTGTTGACATTAAGTAATTTATCTTTACCTACTTCACCTACTGTAAGTGCAAAAACAGGAAAATGCCCCAGATAAGCTAACTTTAAGTACCTAATTAGCTGAGATCTTATGCTTCAACATAAAACAGGTTATGAATGGTATGATAAAAAAGGAATTCTTTTATAGTCTAATTTTTAGATGAAGAAAAAACTTGCATTTGATCACAGCCATTGATTTTCCTGACAGCACCACAGCCTGTGAATTGTTCCTCATTAATACAGGTATATGAAACTGGGTTTTTTCAGTTCACATCCCATTTTGTGTGACTTTGCCTTTTTCTGCAGCTTGATGTGGTACATCTTAGTCTACGACAGCAAACACTGAGGTGCAGCAGGGGTGGATTTGTAGAGTGAAATGGTTGATGCTGGAGACCTGATACACAGGCTGCGTTCTTTCAAGGTTTTTACAGTAGGCTGGTTACAGTCTTGTCCCAGCAGCTGAGCAGCCGTAGCATCCTTTAGCATACACTCTGGGATGCATCTTCTGGTTTCGTTTCATCCTAAGGGTATCCAGTCTGTGCCCTCTCAAACTCTTCAATCACGTAGCTCAGCCTAGAGTAGACAGGAATGCTTGGGGAGGTTGTGTCAAAAAGGGATGAAGGTATTCCTCCTCCGCATTAAAATGCTGATGTAAACTCACTCATTGACTTCTTTCTCAGTTGGAGTTGAAACTGCCTGTTTCCATGCTTTTTTTTCCACATTGATTCACCAAAATGAATGGAGATTGAATTTCTGGGACATATGTCGTGGTAGCTGTAGGGTTTCAATTGATAATGTTACTGCTATTAGCATGCTGATTGAAGTTTTTTCCCCATAAACTTTTGAATTTTTATACCTCTGAGTCCTTCATATTACTCACACAGTGAAACAATTTTAGATGCTCTTTCGCAAAATTGCTTAACCTCACAGATGGCACTAAAAACTGAACAGAAAATCCAGCATGTCATTATGAAAAAAATAAATTAAAAAAAATACACAAAATATGTAGATCTGATTCATTAATCTTTGTTAGTGGCACTTAGACAATATTATTGAGCTACTGTGGTACAATATTAATGAGGACTCAGCTATTGCTTAGATGAGGTATTTTCACTGCAGTTAGGCTTTTTGGATACTTCTCCTAACTTTATCGTTGACTTGCTGTGTAACCAGTAAACTCAATTCTCCTCAAACTCTTAAATTTTGTACTTCAAAGACATAAGGACTCCCAAAGACATGTAAATATTATGACATTTAATTTAGAGATCCTGGTATCTTAATATCAGGATATGTTCCAGGAATGGTAGAATTGTTAAAAAAAAAAAGCTGAGACCTTCAAATGAAAGCTGAGAATAGCTAAAAACCCCTGTTTATACTGCTAAAGTAGTAAAATTATATTCTCCCAAAGAACTATTACAGTGTTCCACAATTTATCAAGCCCGCTGCTGTAATTTCTGTGCAAAAGCCAGTTTTCCTCCTGAACTCTTTGGTGTAATTAATTGCCAGCATCATTTTAAGTATTAGAGGAATGACACGTATAGTGTTTGATCATGTTATTGAATATAGCTTTGAAGGTGACAAAAAAATACCTCCAGATGTATTGCACATTCAACATAACGTCTTCTGAAATGTTTTTAGACACCAAAAAGACACGATTCAACCTATACAGTTCTGCTTTACT